TGTGTATATGTACATATGTACTGAGCACACAGTTCGTTTTCTTGTAGTTTGCAACTAAATTTTCATATTTTATTTAAATGTTGCAATGCATCTTGTAGAATGGTGTCTATCTAGTAAGGTAATACAGTTTGCTTTATACAGGTAGCATATAGCTAGAATATTTATTGTCCTAGACCAGGGGTGTCAAACTCACGACATCACGGCAGCGTCACGTGATGTATCAGGACTTTCCCCCCCTTTGCTAAACCAGGCATGGACGTGGCCAGTGCGTGACACATCTGGCCCCCGGGCTGTGAGTTTTACAGCCCTGTCCTAGACAATTAAATCACCATTTCCAAAAGGCATAGCAAAAATCCTTAATTAACTTACTAGTAAATCCATTTGAAGGCTTTCCATGGTGTTTTGGATCTCCCCACATTTGCAGGACTGTGCGCACACTAATAGGTTTGTCATAATCACCACTGAAATTTTGCTTATTCAGATTTTAGAAACTTTCATCACATTTTTCAGGAGGTTATAGAAAATGTCATAATACTGGCATATAATTGTTCCTTTTTTCTGCCTTTCTTCAACAAAACATTCTCTTTAAATAAAACATTGGGAGCTTCTGCTGCTTAGTGAGTTTCCTTTTACAGATGTTTATGGCCCTGTTGGAATTGGATATGTTTTTATAGTGGTTTTAGACTGATGGATTGTTGTTTCCTTTTTTGTTATATTTTATTGCCATTTTGATTTATAAAGTGCCTTTTAAAAGTCCAATTTATAAGTTCAGTTTTTTATAAACGGACAGGAAGCAGGGGGAAATGCTGTATCTCTCCCACTGTTGCCACAAACTTAGCAAACTGCATTACATACGTGATTCAGAGGTTGCCATTACAAATTAACTGTTGTTATGAAAGATACAGACTTTGTGAATGGGATTCCTTTTTGATGGGAAACCTGAAATAACTGTGGATTTTTAATAGTCTCAAATGAAGGATTTATAACTTACCTCTGATAAGTTTGGTATTTCAAGACTATCTTAGCTGCAAAATAAGACAGTGTTCTCTAAAGCACTAAAGAAAAATAAATGCAAATCTGGTGGCTATGAAATAAAGGCGCTAGCATTTTATAATAAACTTCAATATACTAAAGATTGAAAAAACAGCATTATATTTTGTCATTTTTCTAATTTCTTCACATTATTTAATATCCCTTACAATTATGGCAGAATAGTGGTTTGCTTTAGCAATGTAATAAAAAGGTATCGTTGCTGCATTTATATCACCGGAAATACTTTTTTTAGACTTGTCTTTCTGATAAGATGCTGAAGGAAGATTGTCCCATATTGGGTGGAAAGTTTACTTGCTAATGATTCTTTCATTAAAGCAGGCATCCCTCTTGCCTCTTCATGCTGATTTGCTTTCAGTGCATGGTTTCGTCAGAGCAGCACTATAGATTGATGTTTATTAATAACAGTATTTTGAATCTCCAAGAATTTTCTCCAATTTTTCTTGTAGATGTCTTTCAAGAGGCTTGTTTCTCTTGAAAAGAAACGGATGAGAAGGGAGGGTTTTATGGAGCATACACCATGGTGTTCTGGTAATGTTTAAAAGTGGTGCCTGTGCTAATCTAATACAAGCTCGCCACAGATCCCAGGAGAGTTTGCCTGGGTATTCCAAAGCAAGTTTTAATAAAATCCAGAAGGTTGTTCTGTAATAAAAGCCAGATCTTAATTTATTCTTGAAAACTAAATTCAGTTTTGTAATATTTGCATTTTAAAACTTGCCTGCTCTTTTGGTTTGATACATATTTTCTTTTGCATAAAGGGGCTTTTATTTTATTTGAGAAAAATTACTTGAGGAGATATCATTTTAGTTACTTATTTTTTTCTCTAAAAGATAACCTGTTGGTCTGAGAAAGTACTAATTATTTATGGCTTATGCACTGAAACTTCTCTTTTGTTCCCAAGCCACAAATCCAAAAAGTTCAAGTCACCAAATAGTTTAGTAGAAACCATTTTAATCCAGAGTTCATGGCCCTATGGCTATTTATGTGTCCAGCTTCTTGTCTGACCTTTAAAATGTGCCATTTTAAAAATTTCTAGTGCAACATTAGAGTAGATCAGTAGAAAGATGCACTAGTGTTTAATATATAACTAAGATAAAAGTGAGATTTCTTTCTATCCACCAATAACAGTTTTGGTGGGCAGATAATATACTCATGTATAAACATCTGTCAATAGTTGATTTTCTTTGTCGAAAACTATTTGTTAATCTGAATACCAATTTGTCAGGTATGAACAACCAGACCCACATATGTAGAGTACAAATTAGAGCTACTTTATTGCTCAATGCCTATTTCACAGGAATCTTCCCACAGTGGCAACTTGCCTGTGGAAAACACTAGATAAAGTCCATCCAATAACATTCAAGGGGGAGTCAGACTTTGTCCTCTGGTGCTTACATAACAACTCTGGACTATTTCCCCATTTGACCGCTCCTCCCATCCAAAACAGTTGTTCTCCAACACAATTCTATTATACTTGCTGTAACTTTTTATGTTTTACAGGTGCTAAATTATTTAAATCTCTGGATTCCAGAAGAATATTAGGCTTATATCTAAAACAAAAAAAAAAAAAAACACCACAATATTCCTTCCATATTGCAGCATATTTTTTCCTGCCTTCTTAGATAGCTTCAGTAACTACTGTTTCTAAATGAAATAATAGCGAAAAATGTATTTGGTTCAGAAGGTGGTTGAAGTTCCCACTGACTGCTAAAAGTCACAAACAATGCCTAATGCAGCATTACTTTGAAGTCTAGTACTAAGTGCTAGCAAGTACTGATAGGAAGAACCTATTAGTATGCACGTGTAGCTTCAGAATGTTTTGTAGATATTTGTTTGGTCACTTGTAGTAAGAGAATGATAGGCCAGGTAGATGTTTGAGCTATTTTTCCTTTGATATCCATCTTTTCTTGCAAAAGGAAATCACTAGCATGATTTCTTTGTCTGTTAACCTATATATCATCAAGTACCCGACAGATAACTAAATTGCCTCTTGTTCTAATAGGCTATGAATAAAATTCAAATGTGTAGAATGTCTGGATTTAGTTCCAGTAATATATACCTAATACAGGGACTTTTAGATGGTAGATCAATGCCTTCTTTTAGAAGATATGCTTATAGTAAGCTCACTGATTGCTGTGTGAGTCCCGTAATAAGGAAATAAGGAATAAAGCATTACTGCTACTCTGCATGGTCTTGCACATTCCTGATGGGAAGCAGAACACCTAGCTCACTTAAATGGTTTTCATAATCTTACTCTTGGGCATTGTATTATTCTACTGCTGTGCTGTAACCCCAAGATCATTTGCAACAAAAAGTGGCATAACTCTTACTATCCCATGACTTTAGGTTACATGGAGAAGGCTGCCTTATTTTATTCTTAATTATTTTTGAACATACTTGTGTGATATTGCAGATAATATTTGAAGATAATATTAAATTAGTTTGCCAGACCTAAGTAGGATTGATTATTAATTTTCATAGATACCATTCATTGCTGCCGGCTGGAATGTGAAATCAGTTTTAAACCATTCTTTTATATATTGGCTAGAAGCCAAGTCAGTTTTAACTGTGGTTAATAATCTTTCTGCGGGTATGTTGTAATAATTAGTCATAGAGACGAAGTTCACAATGTTTTGATTGTTCTTTAGCTCATATGATGAGTTTAAGTTCAATTTTTATCAATTAAGGTTTCACAAGAGATTGGGATGGATGGATGGATAAACAAATACCTTTTTTGAACACTGACCATTGCACAGTCCTGGCACTACCAGGCCATGGCCTATTCTCAACCAGGCTGCATGAGTAAGTTTGCTGTGTGCACATGTGCCTGTTCACCAGCGCTATGTGAATGTGTGAATTGGCCCACCCATCGCGTTGCCTGGTTCCTCCCTCTTCCCGCCAGACCGCCAAGCCACAAAATTTGGGAACTGCTGGTGTAAATCACTTCCTTTATGTTGTGAAAGAATATGAGTTCAAATTCTTAGTTTCACTTTCTTATCTTCCCTTTTTCTTTTTTAAAAAGGTGAACCTGAGAAAGAACTTAATCCCAAGAAGAAAATATGGGAGCAGATCCAACCTGATCTTCAGACTAATGACCAATGTATTGCTACATACAAAGGAGTGCCATTTGAAGTGAAAGGAAAAGGTGTGTGCAGAGCTCTTTCAATGGCCAACAGTGGAATCAAATAAATGAAAGCAAGCTTGGAAAAGTTTGAGATAATTTTGAAGGGAAAACCATGAACATAAATAAATATTGCCTCACTAAAAACCATGTCTCATTCATTTTATTACAACCTTACAGGTGATCTTTGCTGACTTTAAAAACTGTAGTAATATCAGACCTGGTTAGTATTTCAGTACAAGACACCCAGGGATTACCACACTAGATAAGGAAGTTGGAGAAGTTCCTGAAAGAAGGGAATGACAGAGTCTGTCCTGTGGTGAGAAAACTGAAATAATCTATAAGTTACTTGGAGTCAGCCTCACCTTGAAAAAAACATATACCAAAAATATAAACTTTCATAGTTCATTGCTTGTATAAAACTGAAAAAGCATTTATTATAGGGCTATAGGTAAGTGGTAGAGGGTGCATGCATGCCCATACCCTTTAGTTCATTTTGTAGTATCTGTAAGCAGGGTTGGAAAAAATATAGATATTTTAAAACCAACTTGAGAGTTGAATATATGACATTTATATTTTATCCTGGATATACTGGGTGAAAATAAGTAGTTTTCAATAGTATACTGCAATCTGATAATATGGAAATTGAATCTGAAAAAAATAACTATCCCAAAACGTGCTCGGGTCTTGAACCCTGGTTGTCAGCCTCCAGCTGACAAGTTCGACATCTTTAATCATTGAGTCATCATGCCTCCAAAAGAGTGAATTATAAAAGCAGCAAAGAATTCAGAATTTGGAAATGGTAAGTTATTTAAATGAATAGCATTGTTTATTTCACATGAAGGGTCTGGAAACTGTTTTGTTTTAGAATCTCCATAATTTTTCTTAAAGCTTTTAGGTTTTCATGTTTTAGAAAACTAGTGTGATTGTCAATAAAAATGCATTTTTGCTGAACTAACTGCATTACTTTATGTAGTGTGTCTGAGGCACTATGCAAATATTTGCCTATAGTAAATGATGATTTTTCAATCTTGTCTGCATGAGTAAATAAAATGACAGTGTAAGTCTTCCAATTAGGCCCAAGGATTTCCTGCAAAGTAAAAAAAAAAGGACATTGGCTTAGTAATTATTTTACATATATGATTTTATCTTTTTGAATATATAAGCCAGCCATTGGCTTTGATCTGAAATGGAATATTTCTATTTCCTGCCTCTTATTGTTGGAAAATCTGAACTCTTTCAAAGGAACTTTTGGGAAGTATAGGTTTGATAAAAATGAGAATCCAAGTAATTCTATGTGATTCTAAACCTTTTCATGCAAAAATTGATTTAACTCATTGTCACTTATCAATTGCCTAAGCGAGACATACAGTATATGTAGAACAAGCCATATATATTACTCTGAACTTTACAGGAAAAAGGATGCAATAAAACTAGATTAATAAACATTTAAATTTATCATGCTTATAACTAGCCTCCCCTCCCTTAGAATGAACATGCTGTCCTGTGGTCCAACTGAAGATTAAAGTAAATGTATTAGCATACCTTTCACGGTTCTATCAGAACATATTCTATGTTAGAATTTTAGTCCTTGGAATCCAATTGTAAACTGCTTGCCTTTATTAAAATGTGTATTTGTTCAGATCTATCACCACAGAACATTTTACTTCAGTGTAAGAACTGGATTTAGATGAATTCACATACAAACACACATCTCATTTTTAAAATTCAAAATATTTTGAATTCAAAATGTTTTACTTTAATTCCCAGCCCAGTATTTTAATGTGCAATTTCTATTGTAGCTTGTATGTTAAGTTCTCTGAGCATTGAACCCTGGTTATAGGGGCAATTTATATAACACTTATTTCTCATGCACGTTACCTCAATCAGTTCTATGGTGGGAGTTTCCTCTTCTTCACACAGTACAACATCAGCTCTTTGAATCCAAAGTGCCAAGTGCAGACCTTGCTCTCCAAAGTGCTGAGCTACAGCATCTTTGATGTCTTTCTGGACCTGCTCTTTGCTGAGGCTGCTGTGAGGATATCCAGGAGTGTCCAGCACACGGACTTGCATGGTTAGTGCTCTTCCTTGCTGACGCCCAAACTCTGAAATGTTACAGCTGCGGCCTAGGCAGCAGGATGTAGTCACAGAACATGGGGAAAAAAAACTGGCAAAGTCTGTGCTGCCCAGAAGAGTGTTTCCTGCTGAACTTTTCCCACTTTGTGTTCTTCCAAGAAGGAGGAGGTTGATGCTCATCTTTTTATTGTCAGACATTGTATTTCCCTCTTGAAATCCCTGAGATGAAAAGTGGATAGTAATATCATTTAGGAAACGTAGCAGCGCTATACAAACTTTGCTACTATACATTGGAGCTGAGCTTAATTGGTTAGGAAGATCATTTGAAGAAGGAAGCTATTGAACTGCTATTCCTAGTAATTAAAACAATAGCACTGGACTTTGTTCCACAATCTTTGAGCAAATGTGTGGACCTCTTTGTTCAACATTACATTTTTTAAAATTTGATATGTCAGTCACTTACAAGGTGTAAGTATAAACATGAGTAAGAATACAGGAAATAGGTATGAATAAATGGGAACAATAGAACAGGCATGATTGTGCATTTATGCACGCCCCTTACAGACCTCTTAGGAATGGGGTGAGGTCAATAGTAGACAGTTTAAGGTTAAAGAAGTGGGGGTTAGAGGATGTAACAACAGAGCCAGGTAGCGCATTCCAAGCAATAACCACTCTGTTGCTGAAGTCGTACTTTCTGTAATCAAGTTTGTAGCAGTTTACACTGAGTTTGTATCTGTTGTGTGCTCTTGTATTGTTGTGGAAGTATTGAATACAATTCTTGTATTGAAGCTGAAGTAGTCATTGACTGGTAGGACATTGTAGCAGATTATTTTGTGTACTATGCTTAAGTCCAACTGTAGACAGCATAGTTCAAGGTTGTCCAAGCCCCAAATCTCAAGCCTGGTCATACAGAATATTCTGTTGTGAGCAGAGGAGTATAGTACTCTTCTCGTGAAATACTTCTGGACTCAGTCAATTGTATTAATGTCCGATATACAGTGCAGATATTTAGCTGTTTGCCCATAAATTTACTTATCTACATTAAAATATTCCCAAAAAGTACCAAATGATTACAAGACCATGTCTGGATCAATAAAATCTTAATTTATTTTTTTAATACCTACAACAAAGAAAATCTGATGGGGTCCAGTATTTTTAATGAATCAATTTTAATCTCAAATCCATGACATCATTTTATCATTTTTAAGAACATGAAGCATATCTTTAAAGTGGACTGGGCTATTCCAAACATGAACTAAAGAACTGAAGTCCCCAACAATGCCCACTTTAAAAATAAATATTGTCTAATTTCATAGAGATATGTTATGGGTTTTACTTAATGTCACAGATTTCATCAAATAAGGAAGCATTTCATAAATGGAAACATTGCCAGTGCTGTGAACTGTAAAGATGGTACTAAAGTTGCATATATCCCAACTTTAATTGGTTTAAAGTTATAATCCTATTCTATAAGACTTTCTAGTAAAATGGTTCATCATCTATTTTTAGAATAGAATGTTTTCCAAATCTTTCCAAAGATTCACTATTCATGAATCTTATTATTTAAATCCAATATTTACCACAATATGATTCCAATATATTTTCACTGCCCACACTTCTGGAAATAAAATACCTTTCTTATTATATATTGTTCCAAGAACTTGACAACACTGCAAGAGAAATAGATAATAACTTTCCAGCAGAGCTATAAAGAATAATAATCTACTATATTTTCATTCCATATATTAATAGCTTATGAAATATGTGCCAAATTATATTTTTGCAAATAAGATGAATTAAATCCACCTTCCTCAAATGGCAATCTTAAATAGCCAAAGAAAACTTTAGTGGTCCAATATTTATAAGTCGCCTATTGATCTGAAAGAGAGTGTATTTCCTTAGTATTAACATAGGAATACCTGTAAGAACACAAATTAAATCAGGGACGATATTCATTTTTTATAGAAAATGATTAACTCACTGAGCGCAACCATCCCTTTCCCTTATCTCCTCCTCATTTTTACCCTACAGTTATATTCTAGGCAAAAGTGTTCAGAATACTAGATTGCCAAAGTCAATGTGAAGTATGTGTAGTTTTTTTTTAGAAAAAATGTATGCAGCATCATCAAGCAGCAGAAGTCAAGCTATCGAAATAAATGTGGCAGGCACATTAGATGTTTTAGATCATAAGGGATCATTCAACATCACAAAAATGCTCAGTAAAGCCTGATCTAGTATGATCTTTTGTCCTTTACTCTTGAGGAGCAATGAGGAATACATTGGAAGCTCTCATTTCTCAATTTCAGTATCTATAGAGTTCTCCCACTGAAAATAGAGATTATTTTAATTTAAATTAGTCTTATTTTTTGCTTATTCAGGGCTTACTGGGCTGATGATTAAGAAAGTCGACTATAAATTATATACACATAGTCACATATTCACATATACTGTACATTCTACACACACACACACAGACACACTATTCTGAAAGAAGCTAGCCCTTAATTTATAACTATACAAGAAAATCTGCCTCCTCAACATATTCTCAGTAAACGGTAAACAAAACGCATGTTTAAAGCACTGCATTTAGGGTGGGAAATCAATATTTAGGTAGGAATAGGGTCAAGCAGCAATCTGATTTTCAGGTGCCATCCAAAACTTACTTACTCTATTGTGCCATATACTTCTGCTCTGCTTCTACGTTGTCAACTTGTACTTTGAAGCAGATCTTTATAATGTACCACACGGAATCTTTATCAAAGTTAATGAGTTACAGAATGATCCTTATTTAGAAATGATGCAAGTGCTCAATCTGTCACTTATAATTTCTTGTCCTGAAATTGTAAGCCTGATCTTACCTGAAAGTCATTCTTCAGCCAGTATTTTCAATACTTTGATGGTTTGAAGAGCAGTTAACCTTAAAGAAGGGAGCTTTTTCCTTTTCCCCTCCTTTCTACTATTTTGAGTTACCTGTTTTTTAATATATATTTTACATAAGTAATACACAAGTAATAATATTGACTTTCCCACAAACCAGAGTAGCAACCAGAGTAGCAATTTACAGTATATAAAATTAGACTAAAGGCTGCAAATATAAGAACCAAAATGATTCCCTTTATAAACAGTTAGAATTTAATAAAGATTAAAATGATTTTTAAAACAAAAAAAAATGCTTCAGTTGATTTGGCCTGCTTAGGAAACAAATGCCACAAAAATAATATAAGTCTATGTTGTTGATATAGTCTATACCAGGGAATACCAAACTTTTGGATCTCAGGGACCACCAAACTCATACTTTTAAATCCTGATGTACTAATCTACAAAAAAACAGATGGAACACTAGGACACACCATATACCAGAAGAAAACACACACCAACCACTACCTCAATGCCAAATCCCACCACCACCCAGCACAGATAAACTCCCTGGCCAAAACACTAATTGCCAGAACCAAACGCCTGGCAGACAAGACACACATAAAGACTGAACTAGGCACCCTGACTAAAGTACTGACAGCTAACGGCTTCCACAAAAGCAAAATCACTGGCCTGATCCACAAAAACACACTGAGACATAATGGAGACCTAGAAGATGAACAGACCTATGGAACAGCTGTCCTGCCCTACACAAGAGGTACTACAGACAAAATGAGTAAGATACTACACAGGCATCACATCAAGACTGCCTTCAAAACAGACAGAAAAATAGCAGCCATCCTAAGAAACCCCAAAGATAAAATTGACGTGGAGAACCAAGGCATATATGAAGTCCCCTGTGCATCATGTCCTGCCACATACATTGGACAGACCAGTAGAAGAATAAGTACCCACCTGGATGAACACAAAAATGCAGTAAAAAAGCTGGAACACACTTCCTCACTAGTCCAACACATGAAAGCAACCGGTCATAGCATCGACTTCAATGGCACTAAAATCCTAGCCACTATAGAAAACCCTAGCTATAGAATTATCAGAGAAGCCATAGAGATTGAAAAAAGACCTGAAAGCATGAATAGAAGAGATGACTCCACCAGACTGTCAATTATCTGGAAGCCTGCACTCAGAAACAAAAATCTCTACATCACAAGCCAGGCAAACACCTGGGCACAAACAGACCCCGCCCCCGATACCTCCAGCTCAAACACACCCCAACCAGGCACCCAGATTAAACCTAGCTTCCTAATAAATGATAGCCATCTGTTTACTCAGAGCCAAGCCGCACTAAAAGCCTCCAATACAGGAAACACAATGTTGCCAGCCAATCAAGACAAAAAAAAGCTACAAAACAGACAGAAGATATTAGAAACACCAATCAAGCAGAACACAGCAAATTCCAAGACCAATAAACACAGACCAAGACTCCCAACCAACCAGGATGAAGAAAAAACCATTCTGGCACAGCAGTAGGCTAGCACCAAATTTAAAACAGAAACGGCTGTGAAAGTCTGACTCACAGACAAAGCCTGCAGGCATCACAGAAGCCTGATGATGGCAGATGAGATTCTGCCGAAACGTCGCTACAACTTTAAAAGCACAACTATAACAACGTGGGAAAATACCGGAACAAAGCTGAATACCAGATAGATAGATAGATAGATGATTGATAGATAGATAGATAGATAGATAGATAGATAGATAGATAGAGAAATAGAGATAGAGATAGAGATGATAGAGATAGATATGTATATACATATATGTATGCTTACTTAATTATAACAAAAAATATAACAAGAAAAGCAGAGCCTCCCCCCCCAATCTGGTCTCCTGGTCTCATTTCATATCTCCCTTAAGTCAGAGGAAACTTCTCTCTCCTTTGCCAGGTGTGGCTGCCTGGAGTTGGGAGAGGGAAGGAGGCCTGGGCTGGAAGCCTTCCCCCACCTGGAAACCTTCCCCCCACCCCGGGTCTTCAACACCTGGCTTGCTTCTCCACTACTGCCTCCTCCTCCAGCACCTATTTCTCTGGGTAGGGCGATTATGAACTAACCAAGCGGCTACACTGATATCCCAGCTGCTCTCTTTCCCACGGTAAGACTTGGTGTGTGGAGAAAGGAGTTGGCAGCTGCTACTTGGTGCTCCCGTGGGTGAGGTGAAGTCATCCCAGTCCCAGTTAAAACATAACAGTCACAAACCCAGAGTCCAAGCTGAGAGGGGTCACTTCCCCCTGCCGGGAAGAGCGGCAGCCCATGGTCCACCAGTTGGCGACTGCTGGTC